GAGGATTCCGCAGTTTCGACGTGTCTTGTGGGCTTTCCATGAAGAGCTCTCTGGCTTATATCTTTTGGGGAATGCAAGAAACTCGTAAACCCTGAGCTTTCAACCTCCAGACCCTGAATCGTAAACCCTAAACTCTTCAACCCTGGCGAGTCCGAATTCTGAGAGCGTAAAACCTTAGACCCCAAGAAGTTAGGAACGCAGGCGACTGGCAGAGCAGCGCGCCAGAAAGCCTTTCTTATGTACCCGCTTCGCTTCAGCTCCCATGTGCCCCACTTCGAAGATCGTAGTTCAGTGGGTGTGTGTTTTTGGGGTTATACTAACATAGCACAGGCATCTTCCTAATTGGCGTCATCCGAATCTTCACCGCACTTACCTGTAGTCTCCATTGTAGTTCCTTTTTTGGCTTAACCAGTTGTATATTAAGGATCCCAAAAGGTATCCCCAAAAAGTAACCCCCAAAGAGGAACTACAACGGAGACTATAGGTAAAACCCTAGACCCTAAACCCTAAACCCTAAACCCTAAACCCTAAACCCAAGTCCCCGAGCCTCCAAGAGTGCCTTTGGATGAAAGGATTGGGGCCCCACCGCTCTGAGTCCACCAGAGTAGGGCATTCAGCGTCGAGGCTTCGGAGTCTGCATCATCTATGGGTTTAGAGTTTAGGGTTTAGGGTTTAGGGAAAATAAGGGGAGTTGGTATGGTTTGGGAGTCTGCATCATCTATGGGTTTAGAGTTCAGGGCTGAGGGTTTATTGGGTTTAGGTAGGAGCAGGAGTGATACGGCTGATGAGAGAGATCCCTGCGTTGCCCATAATAAGGAATAGACCATATTTCTCACAGTTTAGGGTCCTTCAGTGACCCTAAACCCTAAACCCGAAACCCTACACCCCAAACCCTTAACCGCTTTCAGGTCATGCAGGATTTATATCATCAACAGTAGGAAGACTGGCCGCCTGAAACGAGGTGTATAAGAGCAGTGGGAAGTTTGCAAATCTCTCACTGCGCTGCAGTATATTACAGCATCTTTTAGTACATTTTACATGTAGTTTTTTTTCGGATACTACAGAAATATATTACAGTATCACTATAGTAACTATAGTATAGCATATTATAGTCATAGTCGCATGAATCCTTGACATGGTGAAGAGGCGTCGTGCCTGAGAAGCGTCGATTTCGCGGGTTGCTTTTCGGCCTCTCAACGGCACTTGGTTTTCCATTGCAAAACAAGGTTTAGGGTTTAGGGTCCGCTAAGACCTTCCAGATAACCCTCCGCCCTGACCTAGATCGCGAAAGCTGTGCCTGCCGGGGCCCCTAACTAATTCAGGGCAGCCCAAAACGCGAGAAGGGACGAAGTTAGCGCTCTGAATCATAACGACACTTCCGTCAGGAAATATAGAATCACCACGAACAAGATGACGATACCATCGGTGGCGAAAGAAGCTCCTGAAGTCTTAAAGCTTCCTAAGCCCTGCAACCCTGAACTACGCAAGCCCTTCGACCCTCATTCCTAGAAGCCCTAAACCGTGACGTCCCGCATCAATAGGCGCTTAAAGCCTCAAGAATCCCAGACCCTGAATCCCAAATCCCAAAGCCTAAACCCCGAAACCCCAAGCCCTGAACCCGCGCCCAAAACCTCAAAGCCAACCCTAAACTCCAAGCCCGAAATCCCAGACCCCATCAATGATGCGGCCGCCAAGGATGCGCAAGGCCACATGGAGCAGACCGGTCCTGGATTTCGTCCCAACAGCCCAGGACCGTCGCAATCGGTTTAGGCTTCGGGCGTTTGTGGTTTGGCATTGGGACTTTGGGTTCATGGTTCCGAGTTTTGAGGACTTACATTTGCTTCTATAGGTTCAGGAGTCAGGGTTTTAGGGTTTCAGGAAGATTTTGGAGTGCAAGGCGCAGGATGGGGTTTCAGACATTGGCGGCTTGTTGGGGGTTTCAGGTCTTGCGGTGTTTGTAGGGTTTAGGGGCTTCAGGATTTTGGGAATCGGGATCGGGGTTCCGGATGCTGAGGTTCAGGTTTGGTGTTGCGTGTTCGGGTTTAAGATTTTAGGGGTAAAAGGGTTGAGGGTTTAAGGGTTTTGGGTTTAGGGGGGTACGTATTGTGTTGGAAGGATTTATGAGTTCAGGTTTGAGTGGGTTCGCGATAGGGGCCTGAACATTTAATTTCCAATATTCGTCCTCAAGCTCCCTTCTTATAAGCATACTATAAGGGAGCCGAAAACCCCTGGTCTCTTCATTCAAGGCCCCTATATTGAGGCGTCAGGGGCTAGTTTTGGGCCTTGCAGAAGGCTCAGGATCTCGTGAGGCGGTTTCACGCGAACGGTTTGGGGGTGATCGGCTCGAAATTCGGGCTCAGAGAGTGGTGGACTTCATTCTTGAGGGTTCAGAAGTTAAGCTCAGGCTCAGAGTTCGGGGGCAGGGTTTGAGGAACACTTTCTCGACCTTGATTCGGATCTTGGGGATTCTGCCGAACAACGTGCGAAAAGCATTTCAGTTTGGTACCTACGCCTGCACGGCGGGCTTTTGGGGTACCAGGGTCGAGCATAGCACAGGCATTGGCATTCGTGAGTTGGGCGCAGAATATAGGTTCATACTGCACGATCTTCCCGAGCACGTCTTCGTTAGTAAGCTTTTCCTCTTCCAGTAAAGAATTTGACCCGCCGGAACAAGCAAGGACCTGGTCACTTGTTGCATTTCTCCATTACACAACTTCAGCATAAATTCGCAGTCTAGTTGCAGCCTGAAGGGGCCTGACGTCATAATGTTCGTTGCAGGAGGCACGTACCAGCTGGACTTCACACAGCCCTACCATCGAAGCATTATGCGCATGCTCGCCAAGGCAAGCATGTGTTGTGAAGCCATCCATGATAAGAGCAATGACCATGAGTCCAGCAACAGCTATATCAGAGTACTGGCAAGCACAACGCCATCGCCCCTGTCATCACAGAATCATATTCGCCATGAATGATGATGGTGATCATCATCATCATCATCGGCATCAGTGCCTCCGGCTCCATCGTATTTGCACCGTCTCCGCCATCATCACATACACACTCATACCCATAAGAATTTACCGGCGTTCTCCTTGGTACTCCGCGCCCGCCCACAAATCGACTGCCGAGCTGGGGCAAATCGGTGCAACCAAGTGTCAAGGTCTTATATATATGTATATATATATATATATACGAATTCGTCATTCGGATTGCTACAGCGATTTTCAAGATGCATCATATAAAAACCTTGGGCAGCTACAGCTTCAAATGCTGTAAGTCTTCGGCCCTACAACCTTCAACCATATCAGCTGTGAGCCCTGATTCCCCCGACCCCGGAACATTAACTCTTAATGTAGGGGCCTTCATAGTTAGAATGGGGTTTGGCGGCTCCTTATTATAACCGTAGTATAAGATACCCCCAGACCCCATTCTATTCATTAAGGCCCCTGTATGAAATCCCGAAGCCCTGTCCAGAGATCCCGGGACCGCTAAACTCTCGACAGCACTTATGAAGCTCCTATGAAAACTCTGTTTTTCTTATGAGGCCTTAAGCACCCAAACCCAGAAAATATAGACGAGCCTTTCATGAAGCCCTTTTGGAGCCCTGAGTCAGACAGGAAGAGCAGAAACCCTGAGCCGGAACCCTACAACCCTAAACCCTAAAATCCTAAACCCTAAAAACCCTAAATCCTAAAGCCCTAAACCCTAAAACCCGAAACCCTAAAACCTTAAATCCTAAGACAGAGCCTGAAAAGCTGCAAGCCGAGACAGCGGAACGGCTGAATCTCCAACTCGCGGATGCGCTGACGCCGTTGGCCGGAGCCACGACGCTCCCGGAGCATCTCGACGTTGATATGGTCTCGGGATTTAGGGCATCGGGATTTTGGTGTTTAAGGGTCTCGGTTTAGGTTAATGCAGGAACCTGATTCAGAAACCCTGGCCGTATAACCCAAATATATCAGGATTCATATTTAAAGAACCCTGATAAAGACGCAGGGTTTCTTAATCAGGTTCCTACATGAGAAGCCCGGGGCTGATGCACTCTCAATATGTTAGGGGGTTTACTTTGCCGGCGGGTTTGTACTTGCTTTGGAAGTTTGCTGCTTTGGGTAATAGGCTGCTTGTTGGCGATGTGGGATGTCATCCTCATTCGTGTGCGATTATGTAACGGTTCTGAAGTTCCGGAAGTGGTTGCACTGCAGAAATTGGATTCCTGCAGCGTGAAGCTTGAGAACAAGGGAGAAATGCAAGAGCCTCGGAGAACTCCTTGTACCAAGTTCTTGCGTGTTTCCGGTCAGCTACTTTCTGCAGCGTGCAAAGTTTTGGGAGCATGTTGCAGCATCCTTATCTGAAGCCCCCCAGAACTGGTCCCCGAGGTTCCAAGCGAGGCTTTGAATGAAGAGCTGTTGCTTCGATTTCCTTGCATTCGACCTTCGAGTCGTACTGCCATAAAGCCCAACCAACAGTCAAATAGCTTCTTTCCCTTCTCGTGCGTTGCCTGTAACTGGGACTGGGATGTCGCCTCCCCACCAGTCGTTGCAGGAAAACGCCCGCCGGCTTGTGGAGCCTTGCTATTGCACGATGAATGCTGCTGAGCAGGGTTTCCAAAGCAACCTAGATTCGATTACTAGTTACTAAGTGCCCTTGGTTTTCGCGATGTAGTATAATCCCTATACAGTTATATAATCTGAAAGGTTTAGCGAAAAATACATGATGCCTAGCACATTGAAGCACAAAGTCCCGTGGCCTGACGACGTTCCTACCTTGCGTTCCTTACCGCGCACTCGGGAATAGCAGCTCAGAGCCTCTCAAATGTGGAAGGACGGAGGCATCGAAAGGTGGCTAAATCACATGAGGGAGGTGCTAGATGAGGGCTCTCCTTTAGTTTCCTTGTCGCTTTGGTACGTTTTTTTGTTTCAAGTAGGTACGATACGTACGATACCTGTAAGGGAGCTACAACCCAGAACAGCCTAGAAGGCATATCTTCATTGCCCGTCTCCAAGGACGGTGCCCACTGCCGGTGGTACCAGGATAAAGTTCAACATGGAGAAAGCCATGGGTAGGAGCCTAGGCAGGGCCAAACGTTCCAAGCCGCATCCGGCGTGCGTGGGCTGTACCTTTGGAGGTTTGAGGTTTTAGTGTGCAGACTAATTTCAGGAAGCCTTCGACAGTACTCGAGATGCGCACTTTTGCTGCCGTTACCATCAAGAGTATGACGTCCCAAGGTATGCAACTGGAAATGCGAAAGCCTCGCATAATACTATAAAGGGGGGCTGCAACTGTAAGGGTTCTATAAAATTTAAACACTAAAACACAATCTTGAAGCAACCGCCCGCAGAACGTAGAAGTCGAAATCCATGCAGCCCAGGATCGCGAAGACTAATCCTAACAACTTCGAAACTTTAAAACCCGAAACTCTAAACCCTAAATCCTAAACCCTAAACCCCTAAACCCCTAAACCCCCAAACCCTAAACCCTAAACCCTAGCAGCTCCGAAACCATAAATAACCAAGAAAGCCCGAACTGCATGGACCTGAAAGCCTGAGCTCCGCACCCTACAGTTCCTTCATAAGTAAGCCTGTCAATACTTTGGGGTACTTGGAAATATTTTTTTTAATCTTTGGCTACTATAAACCCTAAGAAACAGCTAAAATTATAATTTTTGCTAGGGGTCTAAGTTCAGTATAGAATAGTCAAGCCCTTTGGGATTGGGTGATAAAGAAACGTTAAACAAGAGCAAAAACCCCTAAACCCTAAACCCTCAAGGCTGCCTGCCCCCTGTGGGCTCTTTAGTCGCATACTTTGTGCAGCTGGAAAAAGGTGTAACAAGCAAAAACCCTCAAGACCTTTCTGCAGGCGATAGATGGGATTTCCACGGGCTCCTCGCCGAGCAGTCGCAGCTCCTGCGCTGCAGACTTCCGGCAGCGACGCTCTGCCTTGTTAGCTTATGGGTTTAGGGCTTAGGGTTTAGGGTTTAGGGTAGTTCCCCTGAAGAGGTCACTAGCTAAACTTTAAACTTGTTTGGTATATTAAACCCCTACTAAATGAAAAGTTTTAGACTTTTTGAAGCCAGGGTACTGGGAAGCTAAGTCCCCAATACCCAACCTTTAAACTTTTTGGGTTCTTATACTTTAGTAGTACTCTGAAAGTTTAGCCTTGTATTTCCCTGCCTTATAGGGGAAGTAAGTTAGGGCCTGGGGAGGGTTTGAGTAGGGAAGTTCGGGTTTGGACTTTTGGGGCTTGAGGTTTTGCATCACCTGATGTGTTTAGGGCTTACCGCAGTTTTATGGTCTAAGAATGGGGCTTAAATAATTACCACTATTGCTCTGGAGGTTCCTTTTTATAAGACAGTTTTTTCTACCCCAACACCAATTATTAAGGACCCCACAGTAGAGGGTTGAGACTGTCAGGTCTTTGGGTTGACTTGTGACGTAACATCACTTTGGCCGCTTAGCTTCGGGACTCCAGGCGCTCCTGGGATGTAGGTGTGTGATGAAAATGTGGGGTACCCATCGGCCCCATAGCAGTTCCTTTTTGTGGCTTACATTTAGGATCCTACAGTATTAGGGAAGCCCAAAAAGGAACTACTATGGGGCCTATGGGTAGTTGCAACAAGGATCTTAATGTCTACGGGTCTACATCGTGGTCTCTCATTGTCATTGTTCTCTGAAGCTTCTACAGGCAGGACGGTTAGGCGTGAGGAGTTTAAGCGTTTGGCTTTCGGAGCTTGCCGGAGCCTTGCCTGCTGAGGAAGCAGCTGCAGCTGTTCAAGCAGTTTCTTGGCTGCGCTCGTCATACGTTTCATACGACTAAGACTTAGTGATAGTGCTGCCCCC